GTGGACACGGTGGCTTCCGAAATGAATCGCCTCTACCAGCTCTTCCTGCAGAGAAACCCGCTCTTCAAGGGGGGGGTCTCCATTGCGGGGCACAGCCTGGGTAAGGGGTGTCACCCCCCGGGGAGCGCAGGGAGGGCGCTGGCCTCTTGTCCCAGGAAGGAGCCAGCCCGGGGCTTGTCCCTGCCGCGACGCTGATGCTCTCTCTCTGCTGGCACCCGGTTTGCAGGGTCTCTCATTCTGTTCGATCTCCTGACGAACCAGAAAGCTGCTCCCGAGGAGGACGAGCGCAGCGAGGAGGTACGCCAGGGGAGCTGTGTGACCCCCGGGTTGTGCCACTGCCTGGGGGACGGGGACAGACTCCGAAGCGCGTGGGAGAAAACGAGCGAGCAAAAAGCCTCATCGCTGGGGGCTCTGTTCGCAGGGGTCCCGCTCAACCTCGAGCAGCAGCGGTACGGAGGAGGTAAAAGAAATCCTGAAGAAGCTGGAGCTGTCCGAATACTGCGATGTCTTTGAGAAGGAGAAAATGGACAGGCAAGCCCTGGTAAGGAGCTCTCCTCTTCTGCTGCCTCTTGGGTTTCTTCCTTGCTTTTCTTCCCATTCCTCCCACCCTGTGCACATCTTCCTGCTGCCCAGTCGCTCACACATGAAACGTCCCTCACACATGAAACGTCCCTGAGGAGCGCAGCAGAACAGGATTACAGAGGACAGAAACGCCTCACTGCACACACCTCTGCTCCCGTACCAATATCTGCGTTGCTTATTTTCCAGTTTTTGTGCACAGAGAAAAATCTGAAAGAAATGGGAATTCCCTTAGGACCAAGAATGAAGATACTCCATTACATCAGCTCCGAGAGGGAGATGCAGGTTTGTCTTCTGCACAGTGTGCGTTCCCCCACATCGCATCCCACTGCCCTCAGACCAGGGCCAGCCTTCACCACCTGGGATCAGTCCCCGAGCTCCCCGACCTCCTCGTTGCCACCATCCTTGCTCTCGCAGGCTCGTGTTGGGCGCTGGTGGCAGAGCTGCTGGCTGCTCCTGTGCTAGGGCTGTTACCCGACTGCAGGACTGCTTTGTCCCCAGCTGTCAGGGTGATCACCGAGCGGGAGGACTCGCTAACGGTGGTAGACGTTGAAGATAGTGATGGCAGCTGGAGAGGTGGTTGGCTGGGGAAGGATGGGGCTGCCATGACTGCCCTGGTTTGGAGAATAGGATTCGGGGTGCTGGGCTGTTTGCTGCCTCACATACTTGCCCGTGGACGGGCCGTAGCGTGGGCTGCACAAGCCAGACCAGCAGGATTTCCCATTTGTGTTGCTGCAGGACCAGAGCGCAGCAGCTCCCAGGCAGCGCGGGGAGCACGGGGCCAAGCCTG